GAATAGGAGGGGAGTTCCCTGCGTCGTGGGGAGTTGCCAGTGGAGGGGAGTCGTGGGGAGTTGCCAGTGGAAGGGAGGCGTGGGGAGTTTCCTCGAAAACTCAAACGTCCTGCCCTTTGGCCCTCGAAAAATCTGGAGGGGAGACGTGGGCCCTTTGGTTTGTCCTGTTTCTGAAACAAAAAAAATAACAGCCATATTTTGCTCTCACTGCAACCATATTAAGAGATCAAAAATGGCACCAAAAAGTCACTGCAACCATCCTAAATGGCACGAAAACAACACCAAAACAACATCAGCCAAAACAGCAAAAAATGCATCCATCGATCGTTCTTTATTTCTTCTAACATTCCGTGTTCTGTGCAGTGAGATAGACACAACGCTACAAATGCAGGCTGACAACGCCCGCGATTTCATGACCATCAGGACAGACGGCGGCTTCATCCACGCTCCGGTCCCATGAGTCGAGTCGAAAGTAGTGATGCTATGTGTAGTTCTGAAACATTGATTGGCTCATGTTGTAATTAAACTTTAATGAATTGTATGTCTCTTTGGCTTGGACATTCCTTAAACTTAGATGTAATCGATGCTATTTATTACTAGGACCATGAATTGTGCTATTAATGTCTTGCTTTTCTCTTCCGATCCTTTTGTTGCATACTTATTTATTGCTTATGTATTGTCTGTTGTTTGGCTTGTGCATAGAGATGCCGTCGTATGTCGTGTACAAGGGTAAGGTTCCCGGAGTCTACGACGACTGGGAGGAGTGTCGGAGACAGGTTCACCATTTCAGCGGTAACAGTTACAAAGGGTACACCACTAGGGCAGAGGCGGAATCTAGATACGCCCGCTATCTAGCGGGAGAGAGGAGGGAACGTTGGAGGAACCGGATGAAGACCAGTTTCATCGCGATGATGCTCATCGTGATGACCGCAACTCTCTTCTATGTGATGGTAGTTTAGATGATCGATATCGACTTGTAATATGAAGACAAACTCGCTACTCGCGGTCTCGAGACTTGTAATGTTCTATCTTTGTTTGGTCTTTTGAATTCAGAGACTAATATGATGAATTGTATTCGGAGAGCTATCTTCTACTGTATTGGATGAATGTGCTGTTGCTGTGTGGTGCTGTCTATATTCTGTCCAATAATATATTTTGTAACCTGTGAAAATATCAGAAATGTGCATTTTTCCAACCACCTCCAAATCACCTCAGTTTTGGCACACATGATCTCTTCCACAAACAAAACTAGGTTTCCAAGTTTTTGTATTTTTTTTAAAAAAATTGAATTTATAATGCCCTCTAGACTGACTGCTGAAAACATCGGTCTATGCCTCAAGGGGGCATTGTAAAATAATTTTTTTCAAAATTTTCTTGCATACACATGTTTTGCACATGTGGGTGACCATGTACAAGAAAATTTGGGTGATTTGGAGGTGGTGGAAAAATTCACGTTTTTTCAAAAAAAAAATGGCTTAAGGACCAAATGGTCCCTCCGGGAATGCGGGCATTTTTTCGACCACCTCCAAATCACCTTAGTTTTGGCACACATGATCTCTTCCACAAACAAAACTATGTTTCCAAGTTTTTGTATTTTTTTGAATTTATAATGCCCTCTAGACTGACTGCTAAAAACATCGGTCTATGCCTCAAGGGGACCTGCATGCAAGAGTCGGGGACCTGCATGTGAATAGTGATTCATCAAGGCCTTGACAGCTACTGGCACAGCGGCTGCCGCCCGATTTGCATGCAGCGAAGATGAACGTGCATGGAGGTTTTTCAAAGATTTCCAAGCACACCCGAGTGGGCCCCGCTTATTTAAAAAATACGTCAGTCATTATTGCTCTGTAAATGAAGAATATGCATGATGATTATGAATATGCATGACAACTATAGTAAGGGTGAAGAATCATAGTGCCCAATTTGTCGAAATACATCATCATTCTTAAAGTTGGACATCACATGATACACACAGAAAGTGGAAACGAAAGATGTCGAACTAATACAGTAACATGGCAGTACAACTGCACTTCACTAAATTACTGTCACGATGAAATAGAATGTAAAGACCACGTCACACAAAGCTGAATGGCACACGACTTTCTCTGGCTCATCGTCGGTTCATGCTGTATGTAGATATCACAGTTCAGCCTCGAGATCCTACACAGAAGAATAGAATAAATCACATGGACATCAATTATGAGTAAAACACATGCAAAAAAAATATGAACATATTTCGTACCTCTAGCAATTTAGCGCATTTACGTCGATTGTGACCTGGTTTCTTGCAATAGCCACAGATATTCTGTGATATTGACTTCTTTGTCTTTGCCTGCAGCCTTTTCTTCGGTGCACCTCGTCCTGGCACATGCACGGGATCCAGAACCTTATCAACTTTCTGGGAGTGCGGCATCAACGGGCCAAACCTAATGCTGTTATGCTGAGCATTAGTTGACTCCTTGCTGTCAGCTAGTTCAAAACTTGATTGCTTGCCATGATGTTGTGCTTGCAAAAGCATCTTTAGACGGTGATAGTCCTCATCAGAGTGGCATGCCTGGAAACTCGCGGTGTGACTAAAATTCAGCAACTCGCGGTACCTCTGCAGGCTTAGCGAATAGTCATACATCTGGTTTTTTCTGGTAGGTGCGTATGCACATTTTGCATTCATAGTCCACCTAGTGGGAACGCAACAACCGGGCAGAATTGTTTGTTTTAAAATCCCCAATATGTAAAAAATGTGGGAACATGGTGTGCCTGCGCATTCCATCTTACGGCAAGAACAACTCACCCTGTGCAAAAGACCTCCTTGCTCTTCAATGCGCACTCCAAACTTTTTATCCATTCTTTCCTGCTTGGACACAACATAAGTGGAATCTTCTGATCCATCTAGTATCTCTCTAATCTGACATTTGCTGACAGCATCTATGCTCCATAAGACCATCTTAAAGACCCTAGGTGTGAAAACTGTTGCGGCGTGTTTCTTAAGCGGCGAAGCATTTTCCTCTGTAAATGGAACAAATTGCAAGGCTTCGACGTCATGGAGAGCTTCGTTAATCCGTCGCGACGCAAGGCAACGCTCATAGTGCTCTAGCATTTCAAACAACGACATCTTACCCTCAAGATGTGTATGTAGCACAGAGTTCAAGCTCTCACTCCTTTGATTGCTGCTCAATCCTAGGAAACAACGCCCCTCAAGATATGGAGCACACCACAACTTTCTCATCTGATACATCTGATGCAGCCAAGACTCCTCACTGGTTACTTTATTCCGTTGTAAGAATTGTATCCATTTTATCTCATGCTCTTTAATGGGAGAAGTATCATAAATGAAAGATCTGAATTCCTCCTTTACGTCGTCATCATGCAGATGGCGTACAATGTTCTGCTGAATGTGCCATATACATAGTCTATGGTTTGAGTCTGGCCAGACCACCCTTATTGCTCTCTGCATTGCAAGGTCCCCATCTGTGATCACAGATATCGGATGCTTCTGTGCCATGCAATCAGAAAAGGTCCGCAACATCCACTCGTATGCCTGGCTTGTTTCATGAGAAATTATACCACAGCCAAATATAACAATGCTGCGGTGGTGATTCAACCCGACAAAAGGCACGAATTGCAGATTGTATTTGTTGGTTCTGTATGTGCTATCAAAAACAATGACGTCTCCGAAAGCCTCGTAGTCAAGTCGCGATTGACTATCAGCCCAGAACAGTCCCTTCAGATGGCCATGCTCGTCTACCAAGTACTTGAAGAAAAAATCCACATCTCGCTCTCGCCTCGCCATCATGTGCATGATCACCGTTTTAGCATCACCGGCAGTGATTGTCTCCTGCTTATTAGCATGGCAGAAATTGTAAACATCCCTCTTTATGCATCCAACCTTATCAAATCCACCGTATTGAAAGCACAAAATATCCATAATACGGTATTTACGGATCTCACATTTTTCCATGTCCGCAATGTCTGCTTTCTGCTCATCGCTAATTCGTCTGTGCGAACGCAGCAGACAAGAAAGATCCCGTGGGGCTAGAGGATGGTTGTGCTCATCGATGAAATCCTTGACAAACCACCGACCGGTTTCCTCCTGTCTCGTAATGACCAATTTAGCATTACACCCAACACGAGTTAAACTTCGTGGCCTCCTCTTTCTATCTTCCATCTTTCTTTTCATGTGCTTATCTTCGCGAAACCCTTGACGACTACACACAATTTTCCTTAAAATTATGTATTTGTTGGATCCATCCCACTCAACGTAGCTTTTCCTCACACTAAAACCTTTTTCAAGAGCATATTTGTTGTAGAATTCATAGCCTTTAGCCTCACTATCAAACATCTTGCTGACAACATTTACATACTCGAACATACTCTCATCACTTGCATACACCATGTCTTCCTGCATATGACATGTGAGGGAAACCAATCATCAACATCTTTCTGTTTATCAATGTTGCAGGTGTAAAATAGCTCATAGGCAAAGACAAGTGCATGGAAAAGACTTTGCTGGTTTGACATGTGAGGGAAACCAATCATCAACGTCCAACAAGTAGTATCTCATCTTCCTTTAAACTATATTTCATGCGCTATGCAAACCTAAAGTGATGATGACTTTAATAAACTAAATTAAGTGAACTCTGGAACCACTATCTCATCTTCCTTTAGTATATCTCATCTCAAACGTCAACATCTTACTTAAACAAACATGATGCGATTAGCTCAAGAGAAACTATGCCACGATGAAGCTTTCCATTCGTTGTTCTAGTCAGTACCAGGATCTTGTGGGGTTGAGGTTGTACTGCATGCACGGTGGAGGGGCGCAACGGCCAAGAGAAAGAGCAGAACGCCAAGCCGAATTCATACCTTAAGGATGGTACGCGCGAAGAGATGGGATCGCCCGCCGCGGTCGCCGCCGATTCAGCCGGCGCAGATCCGGCCTTCTTCTTCTTCGGTGACGGCGTGGGGGGCTGGGGTTGGTTGGGTGGAGGACGAGGACGATGAATTTATTCCTCTCGCCGGGCAGGTCGAGGACGGAGAAGGTCAGGAGCGGCGAGCAGCGACGAATAGATCGGAGGAGGATTCTGAACTGGATCGAGTAGACATGGATCTGGTCCTCAGGTGATCGGTTCAAGAAAAGATATTTCCCCCTAGACCATTATGCCCTTATCGCAATTAACATATTAAATTTAATCAATTTAAATTCCCCGCAAGATCTGACGGCTAATAAAAATCAGACGTGATCAGACATGTAAGTACTGCTAAGTACTCCGAGTACTAACCCAATCACCGTAAAACAGCTCTTAGAATGTATGTTAGGGAAAACAAGGAGCAAAGTCGGTTCACTGTTAATAACAGATACTCCCTCCATCCCAAAATAAGTGTCTCAACTTTGTACTAGCTCTAGTACAAATTTGTACTAAGCTCAAGACACTTATTTTGGGACGGAGGGAGTACTAGTATACTAGTGTACTTACTGTTCTTGGTATTATAAATCCAGAGAAAAGGTTCCACATGGTGTAGAATGCCGAGGAAACAACGGAAGCAATGTTGTAGTTTGGAGTCAGGCCCACCGTCATCATCCCGTAAAATGTGTAGTATGATAGGGTGAAGAACATGAAGAACAGGTACCAGAACAGCTTCACAGCTGTCCATTCGAACCCAATCATGGCATACACTATCACGCCATATATCAAGGACTGAACAAAGATGTATGGAACCTCAATTGCAACCTACAAATGGAAATACATGTCAGTCTATATGATCTTAAACATGTAAATGGAAATACATGTTCTTTTGTTTCTTTTCACTTGATGAGAAACTTGGTTTAACCGTCTTTTCTGTATGAATTCAGTCTATATGATCTTAAACATGTTAGCAACGCCTCATATGTTCATTATATTCTTGCATCTGATTTCTAGTCTTGTTTTGTTGGCATATAAATAGAGTGACGGAGTCTAGTTTTATAACCATGTAAATAAAGTGACCGGATAAAAAAATTTGTGCCAAGTAACTGTACCTGCCCCAATGCATATGGCAAAGGCGAGTACATGTGAGCCGCTCTTTCCCTATAAAAGACAGTGCGCTCAACAGCCACAACTGGCTGAATTGTCGCGGAATTCTGTACCCCCATGTACAAAACTGAGGCGTACATGGAACCCATGGCATTGAACAAGTCCTGTTGACTCTGCCTGCAAGAGTGAAATATCTCCGGTTAATTTCGATACGTGGGGACTGGAGTCCCATTTATTCTTTTGTATATATATATTATTACCTTTTCTTGCCAATGCCCCAAAACATTGTTCCAAACAGCAGTGCCATTACTACAGTGTAGAAGTACTTGACAGCAGTGTATGGGGGATTTCTCCAATATGACTGACTTTGCTTCCACAGGCAAGCGGAACATTGTGTGAGGAAGGTCTGCGAGTACTGCGTTGGAAAGGATAGGTCATTTGAACCTTCAGGGGGTGTGCTTAGCTCCTTTATTAAATTTTTGTTCATCCTGAAACACAACCAAAATTGAAAAATATCAAGATAAGGTCTAGAATTGAAACTAGAAATGTCCACAATTTTTGAGTATTTGATTAGATTTAAACTATGGACAATAATGCCACCAGAAACCTACCCATATAGTTCAGAATTCTTGTATACTTGGCTGAAGTTGATCCCAGTTATCTGTTCTTGTACTGCACTAGTCACTTGCAGCATCCATGTTGAAGGATTATAGCTGTCTTTTATCTTGCTCACACCTTCAATAGCCTTGGTAGAATCAAAGTGAAGCAGTTAAATGACAAGCTTATTCAATGCAAAACTGCATATGGAAACATACAATACTTTTTTCTCTCTCTCTTAACTCACCTCAAAATATCTGATCAATTCACATGAATGGCGTCCCAGTGGACCTACATAAATTTCTTCACCTCCTAGTTTCATCAGGAAGAGCTGCATAGACACGTATGACCATTAGTTGTTAAAAGTGTCCGCGGACAGTTAACTGCCAATGTGTTGTTGTTCATTTTCTTCTCAAAATACATGTACCATAATAAAAGGTTTTAGTACCTCATCAAAAGATTCAAATATGTCAATGCTTGGTTGGTGAATTGTGCAAACTACTGTCCTTCCTGTATCCACTATATTCCTTATTGTCCTCATGACAATGGCTGCAGCTCTTGCATCAAGTCCAGATGTCGGTTCATCCATGAAAATGATAGAAGGGTTAGCTACCAGCTCCACTGCAATTGTTAGTCTTTTCCTTTGCTCAGTTGATAATCCAGTCACACCAGGTAGTCCAACCAATGAATCTTTCAAGGGGGAAAGCTCCACAAGCTCCATGACCTCATCGATGAACATCTGTGTACCAGGTTTGGTGCGATGAATTAGTTAGTACAGCACACAATTAAAAAATAAACTGTATAAAAAGGAGAAAAGACTGACTAAATAATCTCATCATGTTCTTCTATGATATATGCTTATTATGTGATTATAGTAGAGTCTTCGTTCTTTGCGAACCTTTCTTGTTGAGGAATCAACATCAGCCGGTAATCGTAGCCATGCAGAGAATGCAAGGGACTCGTAGACGGTCACATTTGGTGAATGGATATCATTCTGCTCGCAGTATCCTGACACACGAGCAAAAGTTTCTTGCTTCTTTGGGTAGCCAGATATTGTAATGTTGCCCTCTACATATCCACTGGTCTTCCTCCCAGCCAGCACATCCATCAGTGTGGTCTTACCGGCACCACTGACACCCATGAGAGCTGTAAGCACACCTGGCCTAAATGAATCACTGATACCCTTCAACAGTTCCAATCTGTCCTCTTTCACACCTTGTGCTTTGACTTCCTGCATTTTTATCGGATAAGCCATTATATACGATGGTATACACATAGGTTAATTTGCACAGTGAGCATGAATATGTAGGAAATTTTGTAATTTTAATATTTCCGTTAAAAAGGAATACCTCTGTCATGTGTACACTATATCTTATTTCTTTGAATGTGAAGGAGAGAGGTGTAAAAGGCACTAGTAGAAAAGAGGGCTTTGGTTCAGGCCGGGTCAGCCCATTAGTCCCGGGTCTAGCTCACCTCCTATGCACATGAGGTGTTCGATGAAATGCCCGAGCCATACTAGTTAACCTTTCTCCTCTCGAAACACGACCTCCGAACTCTATTTTTCCCGAGATTTGTCTAGGTTTATATTAGCGGCCCGTCACGCCCCGTCGCCGTCTTCACTGTCGTTCAACCTGGCAGTCGGGTCGGGTTTGCCCGGGTCGAGGTCTACCAAACCCATGCCCGATTACTAAATGGGTCTACCCAGTCGCCCACGACCCTGCCCATGGGCGAAGGATCAGACCCATGCCCGAACCCGATGGGTTACCCATCGGGCTGCTGTATAGTGTTCTTGTAAAGTGTACAACAGAGTAGTGGCAAAATTCATACAACAAATATTGGTTCACACAGTGGCAAAATGCACAAATAGCTTCAGTTACTAACCATCGATGTGAATATATAGTAGAACAGCTAGAAAACACAATACCAGGAAGGCAAATACAAGGTTCAGGAGCACAAATAGCATCACAAATACATGGTGCAGGTCTTCAGAAGCACAAATACAAGGTTCAGGAGCAGAGATACAAGGTTCAGGTGCACAAATAGCAGCAGAAATACAAGGTTCAGTAGCAACACAAATACAAGGTTCAGGTTGAGTAGTTGTGTGCCAACAAGCTAGCACTAGGAAGTAGTAGTGTAGCAGCCCATGGATAAATGTAAATAACAGCAGGTAGTAGTGTAGCACGCCGGTTCGTCGGCCTTCTCGTCGCAACCAAGCAGCAGCAGCAACATCATACAATCATGTTTCAAGCTTCAGTTAGGATGGATTGATCATCAACCTCCTGAAACATAAGAAAATAGAAGCATTCAAAGTAAAGAACAAGATTTGCATTAAAATCTAAGATTAAAAGGCATGCTAAGTTGCTAAAAGAAGAATCTGTTACCATCATTTCTGTGTCATCCTTAAGAACAGTTTCAAAGTCTGCAAAGAGAGTAGAATTGCAATCCCCTGATGCATAGATTTAGATATTAACATATAGCAAGGAAATAATATTGTGTATGGAAAGAAGAGTCATGATTGAAATAGATTATCACCTAACATGTCTGCACGGGATCAAGCTTGCATACACGTAAGAGCTTCGGTCATGTTTGGTGCAAGTGAACATCTATGTGCACTTAGTATTCTCCCAGTAGTACTGAAGGCAGATTCTGACGCCACAGTTGTTACAGGAATGGCTAGTATATCATGAGCCATTCTTCGCAATGTAGGATACTTGATACCTGCATACTGCCACCAATTGATGATGTCGAGACCCTCTGGCCTATGGATAATTTCCTCTTCCAAATATAAGTCCAGTTCTGTCCGCACACGAGAAGCACTCGTAACAGGCTTCGAGGACATATATTGTTTAAATATATTCTCCATATCATCTACTGCAGCACCACCTTGGGTAGAAACACTCCTACCTACCTGTGACTCCGAGGTACCCACACCACCATCAGATGCTTGATATTCTAGCAACAAATCACCCATTAACTTTCTAATTTTCTCCACTTCTGTAGTTGCATGTTCAAACCCATAGAGAGAGCCAAACAAAGCTTGCAACATATGAAGCTTATATCTTGGATCAAGGACTGTTGCCACAGACATAAGACCATGGACATCTTTCCAATACTTCTCAAACTTCGTCTTCATTTCCTCAGACATCTTTTGCAAAGGAACATGCTCACTAGTAGACCATTTTCGTATTGCTAGACGAATAGAAGATATTTTGGGGAAGAACAGATTTGTGGTAACATATTTAGTCCCTGAGAATAGTTCAGTGATCTCAAAGAAAACTTGTAGCCTATCACAAAGTTCTTTTGCAAATTTCCAATCTTCTACGGTTGGGCAACAATTGAATAGGAGCTCACGTGTTCTTAGTTTCTCGAACACATCAGTGTATAGTAATGCAATGGATATCATTTTATATGTTGAATTCCACCTAGTCTTGCAATCCAAAAACAACCTTCTAGAATAGTCAATGTTTAGAGTGTGTGCCATCTTTTCAAATTTCTTGTGCCTTTTAGGTGTGGCCTGCCAAAATGCAACACTATCGCGGACTCTAGCAATACCTTTCTCCATGACACTCATTCCATCTTTCACAATCAGATTAAGGATATGTGCACAACAACGCATATGCAGATACTTACCCTCCAACATAAGGGATTTAGTATCCAACTTATCTATCAAGATATCGATAGCCTTGTCATTAGATGTGCAATTGTCAAGGGTGACTGTGGATAACTTCCTCTCTAGATGCCAATCAAGAAGACATTCATGCAAAGCTTGACAAATAACTTCACCATTATGTGGTGCTGGTACATATGCAAACCTAATATACAATAAACATCCAGGTTCAGCTTCACAATCATTAACAAAATAGTTCAGATTCATAACGATACCTTGGGTCGTCTTAGCCTCGATGCCATCTGTACCCTCTGTTGCTTGTGGAGTGGATGACTTATCATGTTGAGTTCCATGCACGGCTGAGCTTTTCCACTCCCGGCGCCGAGAAACTATCCACTGGTGAACTCATCTATACAAGACCACATAAAATTACTTAGTTGAACTCATCTCTCATCTATTATACTGATGTAAACTGAATAGAAAAGGTTGGGAATTGTTCTACTATTGCAACCTTGGTGAGACAGAAGGAGGGCGTGGTGATGGCCTCGGTGCTGCTCCGGCGCGATGATGGCCTCGGTGCTGGTCCGGTGCGGTGAAGCCCTGGAGGAAGAACGAGGATGGCGGCGGTGCTGCTCCGGTTGGACGGGATCGATGCAGAGATGGCGGCCTTGCTGCTCCAACGCGGTGAGCCTGCTGCTCGAGGGATGCAGGCGGAGGTGGTGCTTGGCCGTAGATCTATCAAGGATGGAGGCGGCCTGCAAGGGGGATCCTACGTCCCCACGAGGATGGAGGCAGCGGGGATCCTATGGCCCAGGAGGATGGCGGCCGCGGGGATCCGGCAGCCTGCGACGGTGTCGGACAGTGGGCGGCGGCGGCGGCTTGCCGATGGGACTGGGAGAGGGTGAGAGCGAGACTGCAGGAGTGGGGCGGCTAGGTTTGTGCATTGTGGCTGCGCGAGGAGTGGTGAGTGGAGGTCGGGGTTGGCTTCTCTGCCTCGTAAAACCTAGGTGCTGACTTACTGGACTGGGCCGGGAACGGTGGGCTGGACTGTGGGAGGCTAGCCTACTACTACTATTTAGATATAAATGGCCCACATGTCAGCTAATTGGGCGACCCATGGGCAGGACCTTGTACCCATGCCCTACCCGTGACTAATCGGGTTACCCATCGGGCTTACCCATGGGTGAATATGCCGACCCATACCCTACCCATTCGGGTCAGAAATCGTACCAAGGCTAAGGAGTAATGTGGCGCAATGTCTTGTCAGTTTCGAGCTGGTGTTCCCACCATCCTTCTTCAATATCATGACACGCGTCCTAGTTCATCTAGTCGACAAGATTGTCATTCTGGGGCCCGTATTTCTACACAATATGTTCCCCTTTGAGAGGTTCATGGGAGTCCTAAATAAATATGTCCGTAACTGTGCTAGGCCAGAAGGAAGCATCTCCATGGGCCATCAAACAGAGGATGTCATTGGGTTTTGTGTTGACTTCATTCCTGGCCTTAAAAAGATAGGTCTCCCTAAATCACGGTATGAGGGGAGACTGACTGGAAAAGGCACGCTTGGAGGGGACTCGATAATATGCAGGGACGGATATTCTTGGTCTCAAGCACACTACACAGTTCTACAGAACTCTACCTTGGTGACCCCGTATGTCGATGAACACAAGAACAGTCTGCGCTCCAAACACCCGGAGCAGTGCGACGACTGGATTACATGTGAACACATCAGGACTTTCAGCAGTTGGTTGGAAACACGTCTCAGAGGTGACAAGACTGTTTGTGATGAGCTGTACTTGTTGTCCAGGGGACCATCTTTGACTGTATTGATTTACAAAGGATACAAGATAAATGGGAATACATTTTACACGAATGAACAAGATCAAAAGAGCATCAACCAAAACAGCGGTGTCCGCTTTGATGCAGCAACCAAGAGGGGAAAGGACACATATTATGGTTACATAGTGGACATATGGGAACTTGACTACGAACATGTAAGGTCCCTTTGTTTAAGTGCAAATGGGTCAATCTGTCAGGAGGCGGGGTACAAGTAGACCCACAGTACGGAATGACAACAGTTGATCTGAAAAATCTTGGGTACACTGACGAACCGTTCGTCCTAGCCAATGATGTGGCACATGTTATCTATGTGAAGGACATGTCTACCAAACCGAGAAAAAGAAAAGATAAGGAAGCGAATACATCATATGATGAGCCAAAGCGCCACATAGTTCTTTTAGGAAAAAGGGACATCGTGGGAGTGGAGGGCAAGACAGACATGTCTGAAGATTATGAAAAGTTTCATGAAATTCCTCCCTTCAAAGTCAAGGTTGACCAAAGCATCCTGATAAACGATGAAGATTATCCATGGTTACAGCGCAATAAGCAAATGACACAAGCGAAGAAAAAGTGAAGACTTTCTCCCGCAACTATTATGATGATACCATGCCAACTATGTAACAGACGAGTATGATACCATTGTCCGTTTTGTACATGCACATGCTATGTTTGTGAAATTATGATACCATGCCAAC